AAATTACTTCGTTATTGTATATAAATTAAATTATAAAAAAATTATATTATTAAACCAAATATAAATTACTTCGTTATTGTACATAAATTAAACTATAAAAAAATTGAATTAAAAAATTACACAAAAAAATAAGGAATTTCAAATAGTTAATTTGATACTAATATTGATATATTTTTATCAAATTTTTATGATATCTTCAAACATATATTTTATTCAAAAATAAAATCATCATCGTTTTTCTCAAAATCAAATCGACTGAGATAAAGAATAAAATGAAATATTAAAATCACGATGTATCTCGCTGCATTGCGCGAGTACGCTTCTAGTATGTATCAATAAACATTATTTCATGCATAAAAAATAATTTTTAAGAGTTTTTATAAAAATGCTCTATAATATAGTATAGATTATCATACAACATTCTTTTTTATGAAATTAGAACTCTATCTTCTACATGCATCTCATTTCTAAATCTCGAGATCTTTTTACTAAATAATACGTTGATTATCTGATAAAAAAACTCTGTAATAATGCTTCTACTTGTTGTCTCAATTATGCTAACTATAAATATGCTGCCTAAAGAGGAAGACCAACTTTATATCACCCTTCAATTCGAATTACCTAATATTTTGTAAGACTAACTTTTGACTTTTTATATTTGATGTTTATGACATGCTGATTATCCTTGTAAAATATATTTATTTTTATTTTTATTTTTATTTTTATTTTTTATGCTTAAAAAGAATTATATTTACTTTTAAGGAAAATTAAATATAATAATCTAGAAAGGCAACATAAGGCCAAAATGGAACTTTGGGCCAAGCACGCTGAAATAGGCTTTGACTTTTTGAAGTCAAACTGCTTATAAGTTCTTATTAAGCTTTACTCTCTCTCTAGAGATAGAGAGAGAATGGGTTCTTCTAAGGATCAATTGCCGCCATATCCAAACGCAGCTCGAATCTCCGATTCTCAATGCTACCCTCAGTACACCGCTTCTCTCAAATGTAACAATCTTCTCTCTTTCTCTATTGTTTCGTTTTACTGAATTTGTGTGGGTTTTAATCCATAATTATTCAACTGTTGTAGCTTTAGGGTTCATTCATGTTCAATTTCAGAACCCGTATCCTGTATCTTGTTTTAGGGTTTCCCTTCTTGCGTTGATTCATTATTGGAGTATGCTAGAAACTATGGTTGTTTTTTTATATGGAATTTTCCTTGATCCCTACATACCCACTAGAGAAAGAAGAAAAAAACACTTTTAGCCTCGTTATTGAATCTGGTTTGACTAGTGTTTCATTGTCTTGTTGGAGGAAATTTTCATGAATACAAGGGGAAACAGAGAATGAAATAGCCCAGATAAAGCCGTGGATCACTTAAGAGCTTGCTTTCCTTTAGTTGCATTTTGATCCTAATTTCAGATTTTCTGTCATGATTTTGGCAGAAATTGTTTTCTTTTAACTTAGGGAAAGGCTTTAGAGCTTTCATAAAATCCATAGAGCGGCTTCCCTTTGAATCCCACATGGGGGCGTGGCCCCCTTGACGCCCGCCGTATGGTGTCATCCAGCAATCCTGGGTTCTAGTTAGCTTACATGAGTGTGCAATCCAGACCTCCTAGTTCGTGATATAGCTTAACTACCAACCCATATTGTCTCGTGAATCCATACATAAAATGAACCAATGATTTCACTAAAGTCACCAACATGTCTTGCTCCTACTATGGAACTATTGTTCAGATTTGAGTGCCTTTGAGATACCATGATGCCTACATGATGTAGATGAAAATTGCCAACAATATGAACAGAGGGAATATTTGGAAGAGAGGGGAGGGGGGAGGACGGAGGAGGTTTTCTTGCATAATTATTGCATAGTATTAAGATTAGTTACCTTTTAATTTAAAAATTGGCAAGAATTATTTTAGTCACAGACAGTAGATTGATGTGTATGTTGGTTAGAAAAAATGAATATTCCAATGCAAAAATCTTGAGGTAGAAGTCTGAACACATTGATGCCATTCTTGGATGTGGAAAGCAAAGACTAGAAATTCCTAAGTTTAAGTGAACTCCAATTGTCGAAGGATGTATAACTACAGAAAAGAGGGACGGCTTGAACCATGAGCATAATCCTTTTGATATATCCGTGGCCTAAAACAAGCAATTTCATCATGAATCATGAAATTTCAACTTGGCAACATGTTAATAGACGTGTTCTACGAATGTCTCTTGGTTTTGGACACCAATAAAAGTAGACTTTTGAACTTGTTTTCTGTGGAGTAATCTATCACCAGTCATGTAACACCCCCATTCCAAAGGAAGGGAGGTTGCTTCAAACGTAACGGAGCCGCTATATAAAACCTCCAAAATATAGTCTTCAATACAAAGAAATAAAATAAAATCTTCCAATAACGAAATTGAATATATCTACAAATAAGATATAAAGGTCTCCAAATAAACCACTTCCAAAATACTCCAACAACCGAGGAAAATCCAAAAGCAACCGTTAAAGGAAATCTAATCTAATAGCCAAAAGAAAAAAAATCCAATAAATGAATTAACATAACACTAAACCTCTTGAAATCCTTGGAACCAAGATTCTAGTCTACTTTCTGTCACAAAACCTAGCCGCGCCTTGATTACCTGCCGTGAGGAATAGAAGAAAACACAGCTGAGCCAAATGCCCAGTGAACGGATAAACAATTACAGTAAAATGGTAATACAAACATGCCAAATTGATCTCAAGACATCGAACCAAACGAGTACCAAAATCTTAGAAAATCAACAAATAACATAATCATACAAAATCATATGAAGAGACAAATCGAGCTCGAAAACGCATACACTTGCATATTAACTAACAGGACAAGTGTCAGACATATGGCCACACAGGCCTGTACGTTGGACTGCAGATCCACACGTACCAAATGTGAGATGTGGCGTTGGACACTACACCGACATCCACCCTACAAACGAATCACATGTGCTAGGGCCGACCCATACGCCTCCTAAATCGAATATCCATCACACCAAAATAGCTCTCAAAAGAGCACAAAAGAGGAGACACCATGGACTGATCACACTGCCACGGTTAGTGTCACACCATCGGTGCCACAATGACGTGCCTATGGTACCCCCATAKGTGGTTAGTAGCTCGAGTTACCCAGAGTTGAGTTGTCACAACGAATGTGACGTTATACGTCTTACATAAAGTCAATAAATAACGAAGTCAAACATAAATCAAGTAAGGAATTATGTTGAATAAACAAGTAGTCGTAATATAAAGAGGCTCAATTCGAAGAATACATAATCGATCAAAAGTACCAACATATGTACTTTTAGAGGTAAAAATCATACCAAAATGTTACCGAACAAATAAACGTATACTAACTCGAATAACTGCATGATTAGGACAAGACGCCCTTGCCACATATATATATATATATATATATATACATGATGTAGAACAAATACGATTGAATGGAAGATGCAGTAACGAACAATTTGGATAAATATGAGCTAAACGAGACTCACGAGTTCATAAGCATATTTAAACGAGCTAACTGAACAAAAAGGTTTAGGAATCCGTACCTTAAACTTCACAAAACTTATCGATTCCCCAAGTTTATTCCTTTATATCTGCCTTAAACAAACACCCAAACTTACTATTAATCCTAGCTGATGACTTGAATAACGAAACTAAATCACTTTAACGACTAATAATGTAACTAACTCAACTAAATCCTATATATATATGTATATATATATCCATACTATTCAAAACACATAAGGAGTTTACGCAACCGAGACTCGACTCCCTTTCGGACAACCCCCTCCCAAGAAGATAAGCAGTCTAAACGAAAAGGTCACGTCTTTTTGAATGGCTAAAAAAAACAGTAGCAAACTCGACTGAAAATTGAGTGTTCTGACCCGGGTTTTTTTTAGGCAATTCAATTCTTTTGGCGATAAAATAACGACAATTATATGCACCAACATTAAGCACATGCAAGATCAAATTCGAGAGGAAAACGAGAAGAATTTTTGGATTCTAAAGACGATTTTGACAAACCCCTAGCTGCTGCCATTATTATTGACCGAATCGGTGACCTTCGAATCACCGGAACAACTCAAATCTTTCTTAAACAATCCCAAAATTTATAACCCAACTACTAAATGTATAGATTCGAGACTGGGACAAAAACTTACCTCGAACCGACAAGAAATCGATGGAATCTTGCTTGCTTTTGGCCGTCGGGTTCCCTCCTAGGTTATCGATGGACTCTTCCAAGCTCTTACGGTTTCTCTCTAGCGATTATCATAATTAGAGGAATTCGGGTTAGGTTAAAGGAATTCAGTTAAATAAGGATTAGGGTTAGGTTAAATAAGAAAAAAAAACCCTAATCTACGTAAACCCTAATCTACATACAAAAGCCCAAGCCCATCATCCAAATTGCAAAGTTAAAGTGGGTTATGTAAAACTAACCCTTCAAGATTGGTCAACTTCCTAAACTAACCCAAACTTCAATATATATATATATATATATCTTTTTTTTATACACACTGATATATATATATATATACACACACACATACATAACGCCTTATTGTTTTGATCATTGATGTAGTGCTTATACTTGCAGTGTGCTCCCTCTGCCCCAAAATGAAGTGTCCACGATTGAAATGGCACACACTTTTAGGCATGCGTAATTATTACACTTTTTGTTAACCAGATGACATGTTTACCCTTATTTAATTACTTTTTCTTCACAACTTTTAAATGTTCGAGCGTTAATTAAGGGTAAACTTGAGAATTTGGTTATTTATTTTGAAATGTGGACACTTATTTTGGACCGGAGGGAGTAATATGTTTTGTTTTGTTGATGTTTGTTATTTGAAACTCTAGCGATATCATGGAATCAGTCGTGTTCTATTGTAAATTTCCCACCGTGCTTATCGTTGGAATCCATCTCTTTCTTCCATCACACAATTTGACAATCAGTAATAATAAATCCTAACGTTTCAGGTTTGGAAGAATTTAGCTCCGACAAAAGCAAGTGTCAAGAACATTTTGATGTCTACAAAGAATGCAAGAAAAAGGAGGTTAGCTTCGGATGTTTCATTGCTATTCTTTTTCTGGCTTTCAGATTAACATTCCTATTCATGCAATTACCGGTATATATAGAGAACATAGAGCTATCTTTCTTTTATTTCGGAAGGTGGACGTTAAGTAAGTCTCATCCGTAGGTTCAAGTATAGCATGAAAGACATACATACATTTATTTTCTGGTCAAGCTTTTCTCCTTTTTTTCAAGTTTTTTAGTTTCTGCGTTACAAGTATTTAATATCATCTAAATCAAAGTAAAAATCAAATCAAACGTACCCAATAGGCCAATATATTCCACTCAGAAGTAGTGTCTGGAGGCTAAGATGCACATAGAGGTGGATCCACAATCTCTTTTAAGTGGTTGCATAAAATAATTACCATAATATAAAATAAAATTTAATAAAAATTAGTTATAGTTACTAATTATAGTACAAAACGCCAAAAGGGGGAGCTTGGTTTGATGGAATGGTTTTGAAGGACTTGGATTTTGTGGAAGGATTTGGTTTGGGGGGATTTGGATTTGTAAGGATTTGGAATCTTTGGTGTATTTGCTTTGTAGGATTTGGAATGAATTGAATTCCATTATATATAAATAATTTATAAAAACAAGTTATAAATAATTATAAAAATAATTAAATTACCTTTTTATTGATCGATTATTACCAAACAAATGTTTTCACATATTTTAAAACATTATTACATAGAAATTCTACAAAATCCCATGAAATACCAACTACATCCATGGGATTTTACAATCCTATGTTTGTGGTATTTCAATGAAATCCCAGGATTTCAAATCTAGGAAATCCTTCAAACCAAACATGGGATTTGAATGAAATTTACTTCCAAATCCAATCCAGTCTCGCAAACCAAATGGGACCTAAGAAATCAGTTCCAAAAACAATTTCAATAACTTATAGTTCGGTTTTAGTGTTTCTCAAGTGTTAGCCAAGTAGTCTCTCAAATTTCCGGTGACAATGCTCAAAGGGTCATGATTTTTTTATGTATGCCACGACTCCCTTACAAGTGAATCCCCCCTTGATGCACACAAACCTTTTCTCTACTCTTAAGGAGTAGAGGGACGTTGTCATGAAAATCTCCGGCTTGAGAAAATGTTGTAGGAATTCATGAAAAGGTTTAGAAGCTTCGGAAAAGTTATTTAAGAGCAAAAGATAAGATGGAATAATTGTAATAAATGAGTGTGTCGAAAACAAAGAACAACCAAATTACCTATGTCGTATTACCAACCATGTGAACGATAATTAGCTATTCGTTTTCTTTTGCTTCGTTATACCACCATTGCGCTCGTGATAGACAATTTTGTTGCATGTTCCATTTTTCATTATTTGAGATCGTATTGCAATTGATTGAAATCCTAAAATCTGTAAATTACTTTACTTTTTTGCATTACAGAGGGAGGCTCGTTTGGAGCGCAATAAAAGTCGATCGTTGTTCTCATGAAACCTTGCGATGAAAGACTTACTAACAACTCATATGCGTAGGAGGTCTAATGCACTACATCCTCAACCGATAGCACCCTTTCAAAATCGAGCATTTGAACAAATCTTTATGTATTACGTTATCCGTTCAAACAAACTAAAAAAGTGCCTCTTTTATACGTAAGGCTAGATTCGGCTTTATTGTTCTACAGAAATCTGCCCATATTTGTATTTGGCTCAATAAATTGGTTATGTATCTTAATACTGATATTGGTCTCATTTGGTTTGGTTTGGTTTATTTCAGTAATCAATGCACGATCTAATAAATATTGAGTGCGTTTTCTTCATTGGTATCATGTTGCATTTTCTGTATCCGTTTTTTATCGGTAATTTTTTGGTTATGTCTGTTCTATATAGCAAAAGACGTGTTTATCTGCAGTTAGTTACACGAATTTAAACATAAAGTTTTAATAAGTTGTACTTATGTACAGTTTATTTGTAGTCTTGAATTTTAAGTAATATACATCAATAAACAGCACTTCATGCATAAAAAATGATTTTTAAGAGTTCTTGTCGAATGCTTTATAATATAGTATATATATAAGGATAGTCTTTTGCAAACTCCCCGAAGGTTACAAACCATGCAAATAAATCGTAGCCCTTCTTTCTTTTGATTAACGATTGAGATTTTTCTGAATTAATATTGATTTAAAAAAATTAAGAAAAAGGTATTTCTGAAATTTATTTTAATTAATTTTCCCATATCTCCCTCTCCCTCTCATTCTGTTAGTTTAAAAAATTAAAAGACCCAAAATACCATTGGTTTGTTAGTTTCCAACATTCGTAAGGTTTGCATTTGAATGAGCCCCTATACAAAAATAAGATGTCAAAACAAAATGATAACCATAAAATAAACATTATTATTGTTTTGTTTTGTTTATTTCAGTAATAAGTGCATAATCTAATTTACATCGTGTCTTTTTTTTTTCTCTGGTATCATGTTCCATTTTCTGTATCCCTTCTTTTATCGGTAATGAGATTTGGTTCTTTCTATTTTATATAGCAAAAAACGCAAAACAACGAGTTTTGCAGTCTCATATTCATACACTAAACACAACCTAAAACTAATTTTTCTTATTTATATATATACACTAAAACTGCTTAAAAATAAGATGTCATAACAAAATGATAACCACTAAATAAACATATTTGATATATAAAACGATTTAATAAAGAGTTCATAACATAAAAAAGGAAAAAGAATCATGTTTTTTCTTGATGTTTTGTAATAAACGTTAAAATGAATATTCTAAATTATATGATGTCTGGCAACGAAACCATTACCTTTTTCAAGATATGCTCTAAAGCTACATACGTAAATGTATGTATATACCATACTAGGGTGTGTTAATGTTTTGATTAATCTCATAAAACGATTAGAGTAATAAAATTAAGAAAAAAGAACCATTTATATATGATATATCAAACTTATAAGAAAATGATATCAAGAACGTAAAATCGTGATTTTCGGCGATACAAGAACTATAGCGTTTAGACCATTTGTTATCGTCCGAATCACATAAGCTGATACAAAAACTACGCTTAATCAAAGAAATATTAAAGGGGTATTTGAGATTGATTATTTGAACCGACTTATGTTTTTCTATAAAAAGTCCTTATCAACTTATTATAAGTTAGAATGGTTTAACTTCTTTAAAAACTTCTTACTATTGATTTGACACCGATATAAACTATTTATCCAAACACCCAAAAATGCTTATTACCGGTGTTACACAAGAATAAGTTAATAGTATTTGATTACTATATTGTGTTTATTTTAAACTCTTCAAAATAACATAGTTTTTATGTATCTAATTTGAAAAAAAAAATAGTTTTAAAAGAAAAAAAATGGGGAGTTACATAAATACGAAAAAAATTGGCCCAAAAAAATATCAACTCAAGAGAGGAGAGAGATCTCTCTCTCTCGCTCATATACACACGAACCCTAATTTTCTCCGTCAATTTCCCCTCTATTTGATCTTCACAATCAAATCGTTTTCTTCTTTCTCTCTCAAATCTATGCTTGGATTGGTCTCAATCTGTCTTTAATTTATTTAATTTGGTAGAAGGTTCTCCAATTGGATCTTATGTTTTTTTTCTTTTTGAAATTTGAGGAATAGCTATATATACATACAAATATACGTATATATATGTACAGGGACCGTGGTGGCTCGTCGTCGAGGTCGGAGATGGTGGGAGGAGGTGGAGCTGGGTCGTTGGATCGGAAACGAATCAATGATGCTTTGGATAAGCACTTAGAGAAGACATCGTCGCCTTCGACTTCTAGGGTTTTGAATATTAACAATAAGGAGAAAGATAAATTGTCTATGCCTTCAACGTCCACAGCCGGTGGTGGCAAATCGTTTCACCAGGACCTTCCTCGTGATAACCGTTCCTCTTCTACCATCACCACCACCAAAAACAAGTGCTCAGATGGTTTGTTTTCTTCCGAAGTTGTGTTTTATGGTTTTTGATTTTTAATGAATTCTTTGAGCAGTGTTTTTTAATATGCGACGTATGTTAGTTCGTGAGGCTGCGGTATCATTCCATATAGCTTGGAGATAAAACATTAACTGAAGGAGCATTATATATTTATTCTCGGTAGAATAATTGTGAAATGAATGGTTTGCATTACTTAAAATTTGATGTCAAATTAGCATTTCGATTTTACCTTCCAAGTTTCAGCACATTTTTGTGTAAACAGCTGGGATTCTGCTGACGTCTCACCTTATATTCTTGCTGGATTATAGTCTATAGATAAATGGGAATAGGTTAAAAATCTCATTTTTAATGGCAAATTGTTTATTACCCAAGCATACATTTTTGCTTGTGCTTGTGTTTCTGATAATATAAACGTAAATTATTGCCCTCAGTTACTTGAATTTATGCTTATTAGAGAAGTGAATATCTAGCTTCTAAAATATTAGTGGTGGTACTATTTTAGGATTAGAGATATTATTTTTCCTGATCAATTACCATTCAGCAATTGGCATTGTGCATGCAAACACAAGCTTTTTGTTTGGCTGCTCAGTTTCATGGTACTGCTGAAATCTGAATTGCTTGTGAATTCATGCATCTAGTATGCGCCTTTGATTGTAAACTATGATGGAGTTCACGTGCTTGCACTTTAGTATAGCTGATGAAATTCAGGAGGTTTGTATAAAGTGAAGCACGATGATGTTTTGTTGTGAAATGAAGTCAATATTTAGTCATATCTAATAGGTTTAAAGTCATAACATTTTTACTTCTAGTTCCAGTTTGTTTGTTACTTGATGAGGCACGATTTCTTTGTCTCAAGTGTGACATGTGGTTTTATTTGCAGAGGAATCTGAAACTGACAGTGAGGAGTCTGATGTTAGTGGTTCTGATGAGGATGATACATCTTGGATTTCATGGTTTTGCAACTTGCGAGGAAATGAATTTTTCTGCGAAGTTGATGACGAGTACATTCAAGATGATTTCAATCTTTGTGGATTAAGCAGTCAAGTTCCTTACTTTGATTATGCACTTGATCTAATTCTGGACGTGGAGTCTTCTCATGGTAAGCTATTCACACGAGTTAATGATTTCAGTTCTTAACATTGCATATCATGGTGAACTATTGGGGTTGTTGTGGCAGTTTACTTTATTGAAAACTACTATGGCTTTCAAGTAGGTAAGCTATCATGTTTTTCTGGACCAACATAATTGGGTGAAATACCTTCATTGTTCTGCCAGCACAAAATTACTTTAGGAATTGATAGATTTGAAGTTCCTGAAAGAGCTGATGTACTTTCTTAGTTTTTACATGTTTAATAGTTGTGAGCTTGGTAAAAAGCAAGAACTGCCAGTCCTTTGGCATTGTGCTTTTCAGCTATGGCTCCACTTGGGTAGATAAACATTCGAAATGCGTACAAGGAAACATTTGCTTTGTTGACTACTATACAGGTCTCACAACTTCGAACAAGCTATAGAGATTACTTTGAGTAATCTTGGGCGGTTGCTTCTTACAGTCCTTTTTATATGATTCATCATGTCGTCCTGTTTTTACCAAATCTTTTGGGCATCAAGTCTAATGGATACTCGGTCTGCTGAACTGGGAGCCCAGTAATGCATTTTTCTCCATCCAAAACTGAAGATTGATGAGTGACTGTAAAAGGTTGGATCAAATGCATAAGATCTTTTGTATTTTCCTTTGTGAGGTGATTGTGCCAGCTTGTTTTAGTTGCCGACTGTTCATGCAAATTGACCCGTGAAGACCCCCGGCTTGTGCAAGAGTGTGAGCAAACAGGTAGAAGGAACAAATACTAGCACATGGTGATTAGTTGTTTCATATACTAGCCATTAATAATATGCTGGCAGTGTATGTTTTGCGTCCTAGTTTGGAGTTATATGAGCTGTTGAATTTGCTTCAGATACGAGGTAGTAGTAGTTCTGCTAGTAGGGATTATTGATCAGATGCTAGAAGAATCTACTGGACAAGTGGACAAGTTCCTAAAATTGTTGGTCATTAGTTACACTCCAGTTGGTACTTGTTGTCTATTTTCTTGCATCGTAGACTTGAATTGCATATGGTGTAAGAATTGCTTTAAAATGTATCTGTGAGTGTTTTATCTTCTTTAACATGTAAGTCTTATTTTAGGTTGTTTTCTAATCTTTTCACCTTTAGCCAAATAGATTCCATATCCTCAACTTGTTTCTGAGATGGTTAAAATTTAAAGTCGTATTATGATGAACTATTGTACCATACAGAATCCATCTTCTCTTTCTCCCTCATGCTAAGAATGGTTTGTTGCTTACCTGTATGAACAGGAGATATGTTCACTGAAGAGCAGAATGAACTTGTTGAATCAGCAGCAGAGATGTTGTATGGCTTGATACATGTCCGGTACATATTGACTACCAAGGGAATGTCCGCGATGGTATAATTTTGTCTGCCTTTTTGTTTCTCTTATTTTATGATTCACAAGTTTAATTGCTTAATTATTTTATTGGAAATTCTACAGTTGGAGAAGTACAAAAACTATGACTTCGGAAGGTGCCCAAGAGTTTATTGCTGTGGGCAGCCTTGCCTTCCTGTTGGCCAATCGGACATACCACGTTCAAGTACTGTGAAAATATACTGTCCGAAGTGTGAAGATATCTACTACCCTCGATCCAAATACCAAGGCAGTATCCTCATATTACATATTTATGTGCTTTTCATTTTGCTCTGAATTGCATGCTAAGTGACTTTTGTAACTTTGATCTAGTCTCCTTCAAGACGAGAAAAAAGTTATTTCTTCACTGAATTCAAAATTCACTCCGTCACCAAAAAATTTGCACTAGATTCAGTAAATACTCAATGATGCTAATCTCATCAACAAATGGCATTGTATCAGTAAAGAGACAATGATACAAGCCTATTTTGACTTATGCATAACTATGTTACTTCTTTTGAAGTTACTGTTGTAATCATTTCACTTGACATTGTGTATCATAACAACCTTCTTACTTTGGATCATCTTTAAGAACCCTATCAGTAAAAAGATACATAATTTATTTTTTTTCCTTTCCTGAAAGTGGTACTCACTACATCATTTCCATTTTATTCTAGATTTGCACTACTGCTTGTGCCTCATGCCTCTTTCTGCCAGGAGTTAATATCATATGCAGATTATTGTTATGTTGTAGTAAATCTGTCATTCCTTGATTATCTATGAACATCAGATATAACTTTCGTTGTTTTCAATTTTGACCAAGAAATCATGTTCTCTTACCTTTTCTTCCCTTTTTTAGTTATTATATGCTATCCAATCACACAAGTTAGTTAATAGATGGTACTCTTGATTTCCTACCCCCATATAATATAGCTTAATGCGAGTGTGACTATTCTTTTCCTTCACTTCCCATAGATATTGATGGCGCTTATTTCGGCACCACCTTCCCTCACTTGTTCTTGATGACCTATGGCCACCTGAAGCCACAAAAGGCAGCACAAAGCTACGTCCCAAGAGTATTCGGCTTCAAGCTCCATAAACCATGATCTGGGGTTCGCCTACCGCTCCTACCCGAAACCTTGGTTCTCCTATTCGCCAATCTTTGCTTCAACAAGCAGTTCCATCAAAACCAGGTTAGTTAAAACGCAATTATGCTCATAAAAGGTGGAAGCTTGATTTCTTTGGCGATGGGAGATCATTTCTTGCCTGTCTATTTTTGAGCAAAAACTTGTCTTCAAAAAGTACATCAGATGATGTTAACATAGTTGTTGCAACTCAAGCTTTTTTTTTAATCAGTTCGGAAATTTATATGGAAAATCAAATGGCCTTGTAGTAGCTCGTGTTTTGTCGCCAATATGTCTACTTCAGAAGTGTTGTTTAAAGGACATATCCGCAACCGTGATTCAAACTAATTCTGTAATTAGAAGATGAACCTTTTTAAAATCCAGTTGCTTGATAATCCTTCATCTTTGGTTCTTTACTTGCTTTTAACTTCAGTATCTAGTATTATTAGTGCACAAAATTTGCATTTTGGGTTGGCAGATTTCAAAGCTAAGTTTACTTATAGTAATGATTCTTCCATAAGTGATAGTTCTAGCAACCAAATGCTTTGATCATAATGGGTATTTCAGGGTGCTTTGGATATACCGCTGGGCAGGACAGAACAAAAAAACTCCTCCCATATTAGGTGCGACATTTAAACTGGGATAGGACATGACTGAGTGGGACCAAAAATCACCAAAATGGGTGGAACAAAAACCCAGAAAATGAAACAAGATTGGTAAATGACTAAATTACACATGCGCAACAGTTCTTTCATCCTTGTACCTCGCTCTCACTTGTGCATTCCTATCCAGTCCCGTGTACCTACTGCACCCTCCGTCGAAAAGGTGATTTGGGATCGACAATTTATATTTCCTGATGTGGGATCGGTACTTCTTGATAACATGTTTGATGGCGTTTGTATGTTGTGGGTTTTTAGGGTTTCAATTCAAAACCAATTGGCATATTGTGTGATCTTGTGTTTGGATACCTTTTCATATCAGTCCCGGTTGGGGATGGGTCTAGCCCCTAGACTACTAATCGGTTTTGAGTTGGGATCCTAAAGATCTTGTGTGGGATGTGTCCACGTTCCTCCTGACCTATTAGGGTGCGTTTAATAATACACAGATTAAATTAGACATGATAGGACTGGATGGACGAGAGTGACATAGGGCATGAAGGAATTATTGAAGGTTTCATGGTATTAATTTGACATGGATAGCTTAATTATTTACTGAAAAAACATGTATTTTTGTCTCGTTCAGGTCTTATCCTGTCCCAAGCTAACGTCGCTCCGAACTTGGCACCATTTTTTTTGTACTGTCCTATTTCTCATACCAAACGCACCCTTAACAAACATGTGACATAAAAGGTGTTAGGGGCCGTTTACCAAACACTTATCCAGTAAGTGCTTACCGGTAAATTCCAACATTATTATTTACTTATTGGGTAAGATCTTAGTCCACCAAAATGACATCGTATGCAACAATTTACCCGGTAAGCGCTTATCGTGGCAAGAGTCGTCGTCCTCACTTACCGGGTAAGACTCTTGACCTTTGTCTCACTTTTATCGGGTAAGATTATTGTTCCCTACCATATTCATCCAGTGAGGTAATGTGACTTGATGAGCACTTAACCGGATAAGTGTTTGGTAAACAGTTCCTTAGTCTCACCTCAATCGAGTTCATGTCACCAAAAAAGAAATCTAGAGAAAAATGATTTAACAAATAAAACCAAAAAAAGTAGACACTATCGGGAAAAAATAGTCAAAATGAGAAAATTAAGGAATGTTTTCGTTTGAAGGTTAATAATTTAATTGTGTGTCGTTTATAATGGCAAGTATTAGGCGATTGTGATGTGATTTGATATGATAATGGGGTTTTAATGTTTGTTCCAACATGCTCACTTGTGACAACGACCCTACAATAATTAAATACAATCACGATTTCTTTTCCAAGATAAAATTCATCACAAATATCTGTTATGAATACTACATAAAATAGATGGTTTATGGGTTCTTAAAATACAAACCTGTTCTTTAATTATGGCGGAGTGGTTGGTTGGCAAATATCATATTTTAGTGCGGGAATTTTATTAAATGTATAAAGTACAAGTGGTGGAAGTGCAAATTTCCATGTTTGGGAAAGGGTTTATTCTTTACAATTAGGGTTTGAGTTTTTTCCAAGTCTATTCCAAAAGTCCATTTATTATACAACTTGTAGTGCCCAAAATGGATTAAGATGTCGACATTAAGTGCCTTTTAAGTTTTAAGTAGTTTATGCTTCCTTTCTATGTCATGGATCAAGAATGGCTGAATTTGGTTCTAATGTCTTAATAGGTTGTACTTTCTTCCTTATGTGTTCTACTATTTGTTCTTAATTTTATAAAAAGGTTAATACTTTGTGTGTTAAGATCGTACCCTAAGTACTGGGTTCCTTTCGACTTACTTTTATCTGGTTGTAGTAAAAAGTTGTATTTTATATGTTATATTGTATGTGAAATCAGGGATGATTGTTGATTTACTTTTGACTTTTTGAAATATGCGTATGAGAATGCATCAGAAATGAGAAAGTATTTCTGAATGATGTATTTAAGACGACTTTTGTGTTGTGGATGCCACATTTATCGTGTGCTATGATTCAAACTTTCGAGTTAAGTATATCCTCGTTTTGGGTATATTGTTTACTGGAAAAACATTAAACGTGACAGTTGTCTCATGCAATACAAGAGTTCGATTTGAGGAAATTCAATACAACTTGAAACTATTCGTTAGAATGATGTTTGATTCAAGTTCGATCAAAAAATTTATGTTTTATTATCATATACCAAATCATTAACCGTGTGTATATATATATATATATATATATATATATATATATATACACACTTGAACTTTACCTACTTCTGAATCATATTTAAACTCAAAATAATGAAGTTATGAGTTGTTTACCAAACGCTTACCTGGTAAGTGTTTACCGGTAAAATCAACACTATCATTTACTTACCGGATAAGATTTTGGTCCACCAAAACGACATCGTATGTAACAATTTACTCGGTAAGTGCTTACGATGGTAAGAGTCATTGCCCCCGTTTATCAGATAAGACTCTTGGTCCTTGTTTCGCTCTTATCGGGTAAGATTCTTGGTTCTTACCATATTCATCCGGTAAGATAGTGTGACTTGATAAACACTTACCCGAGTAAACGTTTGGTAAACGGCTTCTTAAACTAATTTAAACTCAAATTATTCGATCTACAACTCTTGCTCCTGCAATTATTTGATTGTATAATATGATAAACAAATATCATTTTCCAAATTATTTTATATATAAATCCAAAAAATAAACAATTATTTTTAAAAAAATAATAATTTGTATACTTGCTAATAATAGAATTAATTTCTTATATCTATTTAATAAATTGTAACACAATTATATAAAATATATCTTTAGGTAGGGTAGTAGTGTGTGGCCATTTTTGGCATTTTTCAATTTGGTTCATAATTTAAAAAAATATTTTTTTATATTTTTTTAAAATAAAAACCCTTTACAAATCTTTATTTTTAATGATGATCATAAATATAAAATTCCAATTATAAAAAATGTTTTTTTGTAATATTCATAAATGAAAAATAAGATTAATAATGTATTAGTAATTAGTGGAGTCCTTTCGTCGTCGTCAAAAGCAAAGAGAATTTCAAGTAAAATACTTGGAAAAAGACAAGAACGCTAGATTCCAATCAATCCAAGCTCGACATACTTAAAATTGACACTATTTATATATATATATATATATATATATATAATTTTAAATATATATATATATATATATATTTAAATTAAGGGAGATAGCTACTAGAATTAAAAAAAACACTTGAATAAAATATTGTATTAGAAGTTCTCTGTATAAATTTAACGTTTTCTTAACGTTTTATATTAATTTAAATTTTGACGTTTTTTAAAGAACAAATTAATATAGAAAACCGATTTTAAATATAATATATATATATATATATATATATATATATATATATATATAAGCAAATGATCATGTAAGAAGAAAAGTTATGGTGAAAAATATAAAAAGAAATCTGAATCATTGATCACCTTTAACCTCACGTCCATATATGAGTTACATTTTTGGAAGAGAGTTGAGATGCACCTCATTAGTAATAACATTCAATTAAGATTGATCCAAAGGTGGAGATTGCTTTTTACGCTTCTAAAAAAACTTATCTTCTCACCGGAACTCAACCCTATTGTTGATTTGGTCCTTGTGGTATACAATTTGTCTTGGTCACGATCACTCTGACTAACGTTTTCGATAACTTTGTCATATGAAGGACCATGTTAGACTTTTTGTCTAATTTTTGTCTTTTTCCTATAAAAAATGAAAACAATATTTTTATACACAACATCTATATATATATATATATATATATCAAAATAAATAAAGCATGATTATTATATGATTTGATTTGTTTAAATTTTTTAAAAATTAATTATATTAAATAGGATTTAATTTTATTGTTGTATTGTAATAGTGGAAAAAGATATAGTTTTAATGTAATTAAAGTTTTAATTTGAAAATCAAATAATAAAACCATATCTTATTTTATTTAGAGCGAATGAGATAAGATATGGTTTTTTGGTTTGATTTGTTTAAATTAAAAAATTGATTATATTAAAGACGATTTAATTTTTATTGTTCTTTTTGTATCATTGCAATAAACAAGCTTATTATTGATATTTTAACACCAAAAATATTAAAAACCATCAAGAAATAAACTCCAATTTTATTATCATAAGATTAGAGTTTTCATATTGTTTTTCATTAAAAAAACTCAAAATCAACTATTTAGATTTTAACCAAATGAAAGATGCATACATACTATCATCTTTGAACTTAAAATCTAACAAATTCCTATATAAAAATCCCTTTGTGACCATGAAGATTCAAATGCGGTGACAGCGGGTGGTCGCCTTGGGATTAGTCAGTTCGCATAGCGGATTGGTTATCTAGATTAATAAAAAAAATGCATGAATGTAGCAGCCCAAATAATAATTCTGGCAATTCAATGAGGATTCGTACTCAATTTATTACATGAGTTTGAGTAAAACTACCTTGAATTTTAACTAAATCATATGCATTATGATTATATGTAACCGTAAACATCAACCCCAGGTATAGAAGTTTGATTAGAATTAGAGGATACAATTTAGGAATTACCGATTTAAAACATGTTCAAGTACTCACGAACTTAATTAATTAAGCATGTTAGTTGCTCATTCAAAATTTACGAAGTTTGTTAGTGACGTATTTCAACAAAATCTATAACAGTATACTTAATTAGACATATATATATATATATATATATTATATATATATATATATATATATTGTCAATGATAAACCAAGAAACCCATATTCTGAAAGGAAGAAAATTCGATTCCCTATACCTTCCTCGACCAAAACCGCCCCATCTGGCCATCTTCATCTCTATAAAAAGCAAACTACGAGAGATTAAAAATGTTTGTTATCCAGATTGAAAGCTAACTTAACTGAAGAATCAAGGTAAGCCCTTGAGTCAACGCTTTATAAGTCGCTAGTTTGAGTGCCCTTGAGATTTTTTCTAGTTGTCATCCTCAAGGCCCGATAAAATTAGTTGATGCATGTACAAGTTGACCCGAACATTGACAATCAGAAAAACCTTGTAAGGTTACCTCAATTGACAATAAAGATTGGATTTTTAGAGATCGCGGTTCGAGTTCTATATGGCCACTAAGGGGCCGTTTACCTAAACATTTACCTAGTAAGCACTTACCGGTAAAATTCAACATTATCGCTTACTTACCGGATAAGATTTTATTCACTAAAACGCATCATACGCACTAATTTATCCTGGTAAGCGTTAACCATGGTAAGAGTTCTCATCCTCACTTACCGGGTAAGATTCTCGATTCTTGTCTTCGCTCTTACCGGGTAAGATTTTTAGTCCTTATCATATTCATCCGGTAAAGTAAAATGAATTGGTAAGCGTTTATCCGGATAAACGTTGGGTAAATAACACCTAACTTTCTTTTGATTATTCTCGGTTGATCCCAAAGTTTAAGAAAACTTTATATAAAACAAAAAATAAATTTTAATATTTTTGAAGCAATAAATTACATGATATAATATTAAAATAAAATGGAAAATGGAAAATGGAAAATGGATAGGGAGAGTGGCATTTCTGTAATAAATGTGAGAATGAAACCCAAAGATAAAAGTGGAAAAAAGGGTCCGGATTGGTTGCTTGGCCGGTCGCCTCTGGTTTCAAAATTGATCTCTCCGCAAACAAAAACCATAAACTCAACGGAGCCTCCGCTCTGCTTCTCATCCATAATTCCCCAACAAAAATACAAAAAAACCTTGTGTTCATAGCTCCATTCAATCAAAGTGTAGGATTCTTGAAGAATTTTCACAGAAAAACAGTGTGATTTCATGTGTTCTTGAGGGTTTGGTGTTCACAAATTTACGTATGTAATGCATCAGAAGAAATCTGAAGTTCAGATCGGAAAAGATAGCAGTGGTGTCTCTTCCGATTTCAACCCTAACCCGATTATTTCTTCTTCAGTTGGTAACAATTCACCTCATAAATTCCCTGTTTTCCAATCAACCCCTCATTCGCCTTCTTCTGCTTCTTCTTCATCGCCGTCGCCATTTTCATCTTCTTCGTTGTTGTTATTACCGTCGCCTGATAATAATAATAAGAATAAGAATAAGAATAGTAGTAGTAGTAATAACAACAATAATAGTGATGTTACAACAGCAGCATCAAACCCTAACCCTAGTCATCAGCATCAGATTGTAATTGATGATGTTGAGTTCGATCCATTTGCTGCACCAACTCCTAAATCAACACCTCACAAGAGACCTCTTTTTTCCCAAACAACAGCAACCTCTTCTTCAAACTCCCTCACCAAATCACCTATTTTGTCGAATCCCCTAAAAAACTACACCTTTTCATCGAAAACCCATTATTCTAAGCGGTTTTGTAACACGAAAGCGGCTGCATTCCACTTTCTTCACCGTCTCCGCCACCTCCGCCGCCTTCGAACCCACCTCCGCTTAATCCTTTTATTGTCTCTTCCGTTTTTCTACTTCTTGGTTTCGCATCCTAGTCACTCTTTCCTACTCGATTTCTTATCAGCTTTTGCATTCTCGACTGCCCTCTTATTTTCCCTCAATCTTGCTCTCCCTCGCCTCCCCTCCATTAGGTTGTTTCTTGCTAGGTCTTTCCCAATTAAGCTGTATTCGTCAGCCCATTCGTCAAGACCCCACTTGCCGGTGTTTTGGTCAATTGGGTCCAGGCAAAAAGGGGATAAGAGGGCGAACTCAGGGTGTTGGGTGCAAGCATACACCAATGGGGATGTATATGAAGGGGAATTCCATAAAGGTAAGTGTTCTGGTTGTGGGGTCTACTATTATTACATGAGTGGAAGGTATGAGGGTGATTGGATTGATGGAAAATATGATGGATATGGGATGGAAACTTGGGCGAGGGGAAGTCGGTACAGGGGACAGTATCGGCAAGGGCTGAGGCATGGCTTTGGTGTGTACAGGTTTTATACGGGAGATGTTTATGCTGGTGAATGGTCGAATGGTCAAAGTCATGGATGTGGAGTTCATACTTGCGAAGATGGTAGCCGTTATGTGGGAGAATTCAAGTGGGGTGTTAAACATGGTCTTGGCCACTATCATTTCAGGTAAAAAATTTGCAGACGTGGCTTACTTACTCCATTTCATTGGATCTTGGATTTGATTGCTTTGTTGTGGATATGTATATGCATCTATAGGTTGCCTTTATTTGTTTGATTTTTATGTTGTATCAATTTTGATGTGTCATGAACTTTGACAGTATTTGATATGAATGCATTCGTTGATATACATCAAGATTATTTGGTATTACAAGGCATCTCATTAATTATCATTTTAATCATTTTAGGATATAAGGTTTGCAGCATATTCTAGTAGAAACTTTGTAGAGTATTAATGACTGTGCATTGATGATTTGGATTTTTTTTTCTCTGCCATTATGCTACATATTCCCAAATGTTTATACTATCTATATGTTCGATGTTAGGGATGCTTGTTTTTAGTAGAAGTAACTAAGTAAGATTGTGACAAACTATTGCTACTTAAATTATTTATGTGGCAATAAGCCTTCTTGACAGTGGATTCATGCATAGATCATAAGTACATAGGTTTCTATTGTTCTAGCGAGGTTCAGTACTTCATTAAAATATAATATAGAGATACTAACAAATTAGGCAACTACATACTAACAAATTAGGTAAATCAAATACATAGTTATGAGCATTTGACCATAACAAACTTTAAGTTTGTAATATAGATTTTAACTGTAATGAACCAACTCAACTAAGGCAAAACGAAGTTGGTAATAACACCTTTCAGGACTTGGTTAACTGTCTATGCTCTACTCAATTGTTTTTTGTATATTCATTTCAAATTAAACTTGAAGTTGAAACAAATCAGAACTTCTATGGATGAGAAGATTTAAGCCATTGACTACATTAGCACTATAAGTTTGAAGCAGTGGAGAGTACCATGTGGAATGTGTTGGTGTTTACATGTTGAATGCATTTCTTGTGAAGCATTAGACCAACATGCAGGTTCTTCAATTGTTGCTGTTTTTTCTGTTAAAATGATAACATCTCTGTTCTGGTCTTTGCATTTGCTTCTAAGGTTTCTGGTGTAGGTTGACTGCAACTCAAAAATACATCTCATTCAACTGTTGCTAGATTTAGTATTAAGTCTGTAGGAATAGTCTTCTTCAGTGAAATATGCTGGTCATATTATGATATACTTGGTTAGATTGTGTCTATTTGAGAATAAGTAGAAATGTAGAACCAATGGGTTCTTAAGGTCATGCTAGCAATTCGAAAGGCTCCTCTTTCACCCATCTGCCTTTCCTGTTTTCTTTTTTGTATCTAGAAAGAAAAAAGAGGGGGGTGGGGTTGAGGAGAAAATATTTGTTCCAACAGGCCAATTGGAATGTGGTAAATCACAGTAAAAGGCTCCTGCATCCTCATTGGTTTGTTACATTCTTGTTTTTTTTTTGTGCCACATCAATCAAGATGACAAGGTATGATGGACACTTGAGCACAACGTTGTGGAATTGTGTCAGAAGACGGGTCTATGATAATTGGGATGACATTTTTTTTCTGTTCTATCATTTTCTCCATCTAGATTTCTGTTATAGAAGCAACTAATCCCCTTTACTGTTTATTTCCTAGGATTTATTATTTCAATATCTTCAATATGTTTATGCTTATTTTGTAGAAATGGGGATACATATGCTGGAGAGTATTTCGCAGACAAGATGCATGGCTTTGGAGTGTATAGTTTTGCAAATGGGCATAGATACGAAGGATCATGGCATGAAGGAAGAAGGCAAGGACTTGGGATGTACAGTTTCAGAAATGGGGAGACCCAATCTGGGCACTGGCAGAATGGGGTTCTTGATGTCCCAAGCTCACAGAGTGCCATGTCTCCTGTATCACCGGTTGCTGTTTATCATTCCAAAGTGCTTAATGCAATTCAGGTGTCTCCTTTCTTCATACTTATGCTTCTTAGTACTTACCACACACACACACACATATATATATATATGGACCCACAAAAAGGAAATACTCGATGATATAAACAAATTAGACTTTCTGAGAAATAAAAACAGAAGGTAAAGAACATCTTTGTGTCGATATGTGATTGTGGGAATTAATGATCGGATTATATGTATATACCAGGAAGCACGAAGAGCGGCTGAGAAAGCATATGATGTAGGGAAAGTGGACGAAAGAGTTAACAGGTCGGTGGCAGCTGCCAATAGAGCAGCCAATGCAGCCAGAGTGGCTGCTATAAAGGCAGTACAGAAACAGATGCATCACAGGAGTAACAATGACGACCTTCCGATTCCAATGGTTCAAAACTTCCATCATCTGTCCACCCAACTCTCGGTATGAGGCCCTAATTTTGTTCTGGTGTCTTGTTTAGTTTTCATGTATGCAATTTTAGTGGGAGAAGGAAAGATGGTTGTGTTGTGTGTTTGCTTGTGGTTTTACATGTAAAGTTAGGGTAGATTAGTGGTGAGATGCCAATGGGAAGTTCAAAACTCAGCCTGGCATTCTATGTGTATTAACAAATAACAACTACTGCTACTACTGATGTTATAAGAAAAAAGTCCAAATCTAATATTCCTTGGTTCTTGACTACTTGTACATTCTACATTTTCATTTGTCACTTTTGTAATTACATTGGTCTTTTCATGAAGAAAACAAGTTTTTTCTTTTTGGGTTTTAAGTTTGACAAGTCAATCTCACCTCAGTTTATTATTGCATCTGTTTTTGTTCTGCAAGCCGGGGTCTTTACAGAAACAACCTCTACCTTTTGGGGTAGAGGTGCAAAGTATATGACTTTGTGTGCCTTTTAGATCCTACCTGTGTATGGAATATATTGAATCTGTTTGACTTTGAATATGGACGTTTCAGAAGGTGGCTATGAGATTTGTACAATATGGACGTTTCAGAAGGTGGCGAATATGGTTTTTGAGTGTGAAAACGGGTTTCTCAAAATGGAAATGAAAGCAATTTTACTATTGTTTTGAAGACGTTTGTCTTTTTTTAAACTAATTTAAAAATATTTTGTTTTTTTAATGGTTGTTAATAAACAAAAAAAAAAAAAAAAAATTAGCGGAACCTTTTTGTTATACAACACCATTGTACCAACCCTTTACTTTAAGCAACCCGGCTTTATACGGTAGTTATGCCAAATGGACTGAACCAGATATACACGACATCCACACAATCCGGACCAAGTCAGTTTTTCTAAACCAAAACTTTAAAGTCAGATCAGATATACACAACTACAATACTTTATCCCTAATTTTTATGAATATAGAAAAATCGGTGTAGATGGTAATTCAATTAACAAAAAAACACCAAATAGTCTTTAATTGCTTTTTTTTTTTCTTCCTGTTTCGTGTATTTATCTTTGTATTATTTAATTCGTTCGGTGATTATTTAAATTTTCATCATGTTATTTCATAATTATATTTATCGTTTAAAAAAGTTAGCAAGTTCAAGTTTACTACACCGTAAGGAAGATACTTCATTTTTCTTCTGTTATTCATATAATTGTTTCAGACAGGCCGTTTCAATCTTTTTGTAGGTTTTGTTACACTTGTATTAAGACTATAGATCGACCAAATAAGTAATAAATAGAACAAAAATGTAAAACTTTATACCATATATAATATTAAAAAGTAACATACAAAATTAATTTCATCAGAATTAATCTTCTAACATTATTGGAAACAAGATCTTCAATCAGTTCTTCATAATCAGCTTTCTCCAATAAGTCGTTAAACTGAAAAAAAAATAACGTATACAAGTTTACAAACTGTTGTTTTCCTCAAGTTCTCAAGAAACCCTAGCTAGATTCGAGGGCTGAAATCTCCTTTTACCTCTCGACTTTTGAGTATGTTTTAAAGGGCTAATGGTACTATGAACTATACTGATCACTATCACAATAAACAGAGTCAACGAAATTGCAAGGGAGGTTGCTCGTCTAACAAGAAAGAGAGAAAAAAGATAACAAGAAAGTAGAAGATTATTAAATAGGGTCATGCTTATTGCTTCAATCATAAAATTAGCCATCTAGGAAAGATGAAGAGGACTAGCCGATCAAAGGGTTCGATATTTAAATTACAAACCCAAAGAGAAGGAACTGAATATTGCAATTGTGGATCAGGAAATGACAAATCGACAAATCAACAAATCTGGTATACAGGGGAAGAATTGGGGCATTCGGCTAAATTACTAAAGCATTATAATTGCCCAAATGGGATATAATTGGATACACACTAAAATGTATATAATCGGCCCCAAAAAATTTGAGAGTCCCAAATTTTTTAGGGTCTTGTTCAGAATCTCATATTGGTACATCCTTCGGCACAACCCTGATTTCGAACGACTTACAGCATCCACACTAAAGATTATTATAAGAACTGCATTATTCTACTTTTCTTTACTGTCACATTAGTGTCATCTCAGCAAAACATAAACACCGATAAAACACTTCTTCATCTTCCTATTTTTTTATTTATAAACAAATATGTAACTTTGTTTATTTATCATTTGTTATTTATAGCAAATCCAAAATATTAATCATTAACTTAAAATTTAATATATTAACTTAAAATTTTAATTAATATATTGTAGTAACGTATTTAAAAAATAATTAAAACCTAAACAAAAAATTATGCTATGATTAAAAAAAAATATTATATAAATATTTAACTTAATAGAAAATAAAATGAAATAATAAATAGTAACATAGCTTATCATGATCACGATTCAATATATTACGTAGATATTAAATTATAATAATATAGATTATTCATAAAAAATATATGTCTAATGTAATTTTTTAATTTTTATATACTTTTCTACTAAATATATTACTACGCAACAATTTTAATAATTTTATATTATTTTAAAAAATATGTTAAGTTTATTGAATATAAGTAGAGATAAATAAATATTTTTAATTTACTGATATTTTATATTTTCATTTATCTGTCTGAACTAAACACCCTGTAATATTTTTAAGGAAAGAAGTGGTAAAGGAAAAGGACATGTAATTTTATAAAAAACAATAATTTTATATAAACTATTTATTTATTTTGGGTAGGGATGAGTTGTAAAAACATATCCCAAACTCGATCTTATCACGGGAAACATTACAATAACCCCACTAAACGTGGATTACGACCATTATCATATCATTATTTTAATCTACCCTCATTTTTGTAAGACATTTTTTCTAAATTTTTGCTTCCGTATTTTTATTTTTTAAAAGTATAATATATTTTTGTTCACCTTTTATGTAAGATTTAGACTTGCTGACCTCTTGAGAGTAGAGATGTATAGAAGACTGTAAAACCATGAAACCCCCCAACCCAACCTGCTAACAACACAATTAAACTCAATCCATGAAACCATGAATTATCTACCCTGCCGCTAATATAAAATTATATATATATATATATATATATATATATGTGTGTGTGTGTGTGTGGGACTGTAAATCATATATTAGTCCAATTGAAAGTCTAAGGAGCAAAATTAATCCAACTTGGTCGATGGTTGGTAATCTGCTATCTAGACTCCATTGCTCAACTAGATACTGCTACGCTTAGCCCCTAATTCGATTGCCAACTTGAGGACCAATCTACTACTGCCGGAGGACTAATCAACTGTTGCTACGCTTTTGTCTGTTCTATTTCTAATCGATTTATTTATGTTTGCTTGTTGCTCGTTTTGCTTATATCGACTCAATTGGTATGGGTTTCTTGGTGCTTGATTTCTTGTCACATTTGACTTTAGTACAAAATGAAGTAGATTACAAAGTTTGTGCATTTTGTTATCACATTGGTTATGGACATAGAAATACACAATTACTTATGTTTGATGTCCTTTTATCTTTTGGTGTGATAAATATAGTTTGTTTCACTGCATAAAAAAATCTCATACATTTCTTCTAGGTTGCAACTTTGTATTTCTTATCCTATTTTAAATATATAGGGGGTGTTTGGGATTGCTTATTTGAAATAACTTATACTTTTCTACAAAAACACTTATCAACTTATTATAAGTTAAAAGAGTTTAACTTCTTCAAAAACTCTTTATTACCGGTTTGACATCGGTATAAATTGTTTATCCAAACACTCAAAAATGTTTATTATCGGTATCACACCGAAATAAGTCAATAAGTTGTTTTTATAAGCAATCTCAAACACCCCCATAATAGGAGCAATGGAAAAATCTAATAAGTCTCCAAATATATATATATATATATATATATATATATATATATATATATGGATGATTATAATAACTAACAAGTTTGTCTACCATACTTTTAATTACATTTATCGTATCTCATTCATCAATTTTATGTATATACTAATAAACCGCCAACCCAACTCAACCCGCCACAGCCCGTAAGGGTTGGATTGAGTTATAATTTTAAATGTGTTGGGTTGGATTAAGATTTTCCAAACCACTATAATTAGGTTGGGTTGTTAAAAAGTCAACTCAACCTGCATATACACCTATTTGAGAGTGAATTTGCCAATAAACCGCATACTATTAAGCCAAAAACCTTTTTCATTTTTATCTTAATTATTTAAATATATAATTTGTAAAAAGACTAATTTTATTAGATTATTTGAAGATAGTATTAGGTCTTTTTAGATAAAACAAGATTTATTTGAAGATATACAGGGTCAACTTCAAGAGAATGCGGTCAACTTATGAAACGACGAGAAGTCCCAAGTCACGTGTAATCACATGTAATCACAAATGCAAACATGTAGCATTAATCGACCATAAAGCAAACGACTTTTCCTGCGACCCTTGATCGAGATAACCAAGTCGTTCACGCCCTTTTGGACAACATGTGATGTTACTTTATAATCACATGTGATCTTAGAACTTTTCATCTTCTCGCAAATCAACCAACTTCTCGCCATGATCCTCCTTAGGTGGAGGTTCAAACGAGAACACCTCCATTTTACGAAAATACGAGAATGCCTTTATCACATGTGATAATACAAGTGAGGGGACCTGGTGGTGTGCAGACGCATGTTTTGCGAGTTAAGTCGGCCCAAAGGTCATTTGAGTCTATGATTTAGTATCACATGTGATGGTCTTGATGAATAATAGTCTCACACCAATAACACCTTTATTACATGTGATAATACATGTGATGGGACTTAGCGGTGTAAAAACGACTTGGCCCACAACCTAAAGGGTCTCTGATTTAGTATCACATGCGTATCATATGTGATGAAATAATAGTATCACATGTAATTGTCTATAGTAAAAGGGTGTTCTCGCATTCTCGTAAAATAAAGGTGTTCTTGTTTAAACCCTTCTCCCTGTATATGTGTGTGTGTGTGTAGCAATCCTTCCATAAACAACTTACATCCTGCATTATCCCACATTTCTCAACTTCTAATTTTCTTAGAAAATGTCTTCTGAGTCGAAAATAATACATTATACAGGAAAGCCAGAAAATTTCGGTTTCACGAGAGAGAACCACACAAAACGATCCAAACCTAACCAGATTTGGTGTTTACATCAACACAAATGGGATGGATAGAAACCAAAACACAAATACAACATGCATAAACTAAACTTAGGTCTTGAAAACAACAAATAAGAGGATGTTAATTGGCAGCTTCTTTATAGTCATAATTTTAAACATATTACCTGAGAGAGATGATTGAAGATTACTCATAAATGGGTCAACCCACTGTACAATACTTGAACATGTATTATCACAAGGAAAATGGTTTTGCATACACATCGAAAGGCTGGCAGGCAGTCAATTGCGGCTCCTGTCCAAATCAAACATACAACAAAACTTGTTACGCAAAATTTCAACTGCATTTTCACACTCTCAAACAACACATGGTTACTGGTTCTCAACCTTTTGGTCGTTCTTATTTGATTATTCCCCTATATACAGTGAAAATAAAATGAAAACCGCAAACATGTTACAAACCCGTGAAAATCAATCCAAACCATTCATTTTGAGTTTGATTTAAAACTATTGTTCATACTGTTTTACATGTTTTTTTTCCTTTGTGTGTGCATGTTTCATATATGAAATGCATTTTCGTGTTCTTTTCACATACAAAACAGTCCTTATGTTTTATATATGAAACAACGTTATTTATACACGTCCTATCCTCGTGTTCTTTTGTGTGTGCATGTTTCAAATATGTTTTATATGTGAAACAAGATTGTATGAGCACTGCATGTTTCACATGAAAATGGTTGGCAGGCTTATGACATATTTGTGATTTTCAATTGTTTGCCCTCTCTCTCTCTCTCTCTCTATATATATATATATACACACACACACACACACAAGACATATATTAAAGAGCAACACATAATTTTTTATATGTCAAAAATACTTTGCTCAACAAATAATCAAATTTACATTGCCTTTTTAAAATATTGTTATTCAATAGAAAATATATTATACAGGAAAGAGCCCGATATCAGACATTTTCATGTATACATCACCATATCCATATCTTAAGTGGATGTAAATGTGGATCCTTGAATAAGTTATGAATCCTAAGAAATATGCAGTTTTGCAATATCCATTTACAACCCCTAAATTTCAAGGCTAAAAGCCATGGGCTCCTTAAATGTCCCTTTCTCCAAGTAATAGAGCTTTAGACAGGTATGTTCGCACAAAGAAATTTTGTCAGGTTATACGGATTCCATATATAATGCAAATTATGAACTTATGATTCCTGCTTCCCATAACTAAATTCCATTTGCAATTTCTAATTTTTATTTTGCTGAGAAGGCATTCTTTTGGCTTACATTAACCGAGAAACGAAACCCTTGACCTCCGGGGGGTTGGGCTTTACCAGTAACTGGGATACCGCAGGGCCAATGACAATTTGGTCATTTAATCAGATATTGCATCTCTACTTCACTTATTTTAGTAGCAGTGAGATGATACCTGGCTTAGTCCACCTCCACCTAGTCCACCAGCGAGACTTCCCCCTGTCAATAACATAGTGAGAAGAGAAGTCACCGCACCACCACCACCACCACCCATGTCACTTTTTGCACTACGGATGGCATTACGCATAGAACCTAATAAGCTCCCATAGGTAGACGCATTTCCATGTTCTATAGCTTGAATAAAGCAGAAAGTCATGGCCCCTGTTGATGTGATTTTTGATAGAGCCTGCTCCCATAAACATGCCCAATTCAAACATTTATCTATGTTCATACAGAAGATAATGTAGATCAGAGCTGTTTAAATTCTGGGACTTACAGATGTATCAGCAGATGTTTGATCATCATCACAACCACTTATGGAAATGACTTCACCACCGTTGCTACCTTTCCATATACCCGATCGAGGACGATGATCCTCCCATACATACTGCCCACTCCTATCACATCAAAAGATAAGGATCAACACTTCAAAACAATTATGTTATGGAGTACTAAATATTCCAAGAGTGAATGTGCAATTTTTGAAGTATATAATATTTATATACGGCAAATTAAACTCACACACACTTCTCATCTTTGTCGAGACTTGAACCCCTGACCTCCAGGAAGGTGGGCCAATGGCCCTTTGGTACTAATGTGCAATTTGTTCAAGGGGATGAAGGATCGTGCACAAATCATTTATATATAAGCAGCAATTTTTTTTCTTTTTTCTTAGGATCCAAGATTAATACAGTGCATGGAGAAGTTCAAAATACCCCTTGCTATTTATTTGAAAGTGTGTACACTTCCCTCCAAAATTATAGACTTTTGTAGCAAAAAGTGGCATATTGTTCTCATTGATTCCTCATCAGTTTGTTAACCAAGATCCATGGGGATACGAAACAAAAACAAAACAAAAGACAACTCATAGAAGCATAAGAAGGCTCCAAATGCAGAGTTGGAGCATCATCCTCATCACAGCAATATGAAGAAGAAAACATATATGAGAAACTTAAAGATTATCGCAAGAATTATCTCAATTCCAACATTTTTCAAGATTTAACATAAATAGCAAGAGATATGTCATATATCATACTAAAGAATTCTAAAACCCACCTGCTCATTCTGCAAAGGAAAGGAAGGTCCAGTACAGTGCCACTGTGGCAAGCATCAATAATTGCATGAAGTTTAACCCCAAGAGGAAGAGGTTTGACAATAGTTGCATTAATTTCATCATCAACAATCATACCCTGGGTCTCGAAGTCCAGCGGGCATAAGGTTTCATCATACCCATCAACCTCGTCGCCATTATAATTCCTTTGTCGTGAACCATGACCAGAATAGTGAAAAACAAGCGAGTCTCCTGGTTGGCATCCTTGGACCAGCCAAAAAAGTGCCATCCTCATGTTCTGTTTTGTTGGAATTTTATAAGGGTCTGTTTCTTCCTCTGCAATTTTATTCCACATATCTGATCAGGACTTGAAAAACATTTGTGTAGGTAAACAAGGAGAGACCAGGATTATGAAGCACATGAAACAGGTGTATGAATTGGGTGGCTGGTGGATTGGTTCAACATTTTAAAAGAAATACTATATTCGGGTGCCCCACACACACACGCGCTCGTTCAAGACAATAAAAAAGAAGTCGACAAAAGAAAATTCATTGGAGTATGGAAGAATATAAATTTCTTGAAAAGTGTGCCGATCAAGAGGTCACTTCTTGGACAACCACCAAGAGCAAAATTTCCAAGCTGATAACCTTATTCAGGAACTCAAGTACTGCATGCAAGTAGGATTGTTGCCTAAGGTTTGATGCCAGAAAACATTATCCATTACAAATTAGATCATAAAATATTTAAATGAATATTCAGACCCTGTAATTGCTCAAAATCTTGTTAAAATTAACCAGCAGAACACAGGGATGATTCCATCATAAAGACATAAATGATTTATGAAGCTCATCCTCGTTCAAAAGTATTCTTACAATCTGGAAGACACCTCTACAACCTAATGCAGCTTCAATTATTTTTGTTACTCACAATTGCCCTTGCCTTGAAATGATTTAATTGTCATAAAATTTGTGTTTACATATGCACGCAGGCTGGCTTATGATTACACTTTTCCACCTTAGTTGATTAACATGTACTGATATCGCTCCTAATTCAAAGAGAAGAAACTTCCATCTAGGAAGCACATGATAAAGATTAATCTCATCAGTCATTGAATGCTCAGCCTTTCTAATTTAGGTGTGTTTAACTACAACCAGCATAGTTTATATCAGCCAAACCCCAATCAACACATGATTCAAAAAAGTGGGACAGATGTTATGAGTCAACCTATCCATTTTACATATAGCAGAACAAAGGAGCAAAAAGGAATTGGGGAAGGGGGAACCACCACCGTCACAAAAGAATAATTACTTTTTGGATGCTGTCAGCCATTCGGTTGCGGTGGGCATTTTGGGTAACACGTATTACTTCTGTTTCAAGTCTAGTATAAAGAGGTGGAGAAGGAAAGAACAATTTTTATGCTGAGATTTTCCTTCTTGTACTGGAAAGCCTGGCCTCTCAAATTGCCAAATTTGCTCTTAATATCATCCGATTGGCTATTAAAATTCTGAGTTTATTATGACTATTTACACAATCACAATCAAAACTCTTCATCTCTTCAGAAATTGCATATGCTAAATCTTCAGGTATTTTATACTCCAAGCTATGTATTCCAGTCCTTTTAGCACTTCAATAACTATCGTGGTTTTATCTTCTCACCAGCTACAATGAAGAGCTTCTCTATTTTCTTCACAATACCTTGTCTTGCTACCTGTTGACGGTCCCCATTCTCTCCACCCCCCCCCCTCCCCAAGATGCACTCAAACTCTTAACTCAAACATACTGCTTCTTAAATGAAATATTCCATAGACATTGTTCCCCGATTAAGATGAACATTAGGTACATGTATTGCTGTGTTATCACATATTTTTTTCAGAGTTTCAACCTATCAATATATATATATATATATATCCCCAAAATCATATAAAAACCTCCTATATGTTAGAAACTCTATGAACCAACATTGACCACACATTTTTAACTTACATAATTATCTTTTCCTTAAAAATCTCACTTTTTGTTTTGTTTTGTTTTGTTTTTGAAACAACGGAAGCTTTATTTCACCAATGCAACAACACATGGGTTGGTTTGTGTTGATATGTTTTGATAATAAAGTGTTGTTTCTCCAACGAAACAACTTATTAGGTTGATCTGTTTTGATAATTCAGTGTCGTTTCACAACAACACATGGGATTGATCTCTTTTGTGCATATGTCGTTTCACCAACGAAACATTACATCGATCGGGTGATTTCAAATGGGAAAAGTGAGTTTTTTTAGGAAACAATTGACAAGGCAATTAACATTATTAATAAGATAATTAGAAAGTTAAAAATATGTGTTCAATATTGGTTCATAGAGTTTTAACTTATAGACGGTTTCTATTTGATTTGCTAAAACTCATTAACTGAAGCCGAAGTTCAAAAATGCTACTCCACATAAATGTTGTCATGAAGTTGAACTCCGTCCATGATAGGAAACCTATATAACTTTGTGAATGTAGATGCCAAACTCGTTCACTTACTGGGTCATGCTCACAGAATTCAGGTAAAGCATCAATAATTTATCAAGGTGTAATTCAGCATAACTACTTCAAGAGAAGTTAGCTCCATCCAAGTCCAAAGCAGCAAAGAAATTCCCAAATATTAAAATCAAACAATGTTAAAGGTTAGTAACATATAACAGTCTAAAATTTTGGAGCAACAAAGTATCATGATGAGAACTTTTGGCATCAAGTATTGAACATCTTAGACAAAAGTGTACAATTGGAATAAGAGTTTTAGTATAAAAATCAATCAATAAATGGTTGGTGGATAAGTTTTTAGAAAATTCAGAAATAGCCCCTCCGGAATTGCTGTTTTGCTATATGGTACAGTTATTTAAGGTGAACGGTTCCATTTGCCAATATTTGAACGTTTAATATATAAAAGAAAATATTACTGTAAGGGGGGTGAATATAGCCAAGTCAAGAATAGGGACTAGAGGCGTATAATGATTGAAAGTAGAAGATAAATATGCCACCAGCAACCTGCGTTAATTATAGTGATGATTAAGCTTTCAGCTTGAGCATACTTTTTTAAAAAATTGGAGCCTGCAACAGTGACGAATCACCAAATTGAAAATATAAATTACTCCTAACCATTTGAGTACCAAAAAACCAAGAGGATATTAAGTAACAATGGGTTTAGAAGAGCTCAAGCCAGGGGCGGATTTACATGTATAGGTGTGGGGGGAAAGGCCCCCACTCAAATGTAAAAGTTCTGATGAAACCCCTCACTCCATCATTTGACGGTTGTTCCCCCGCACATTAATTGTTTTGTTATCGTTAGTTCTTGCAATCATGGTACAACGATAACGTTGGTTGATGGTTTTTTTAAATACATCTCAATTCTTGTTCTAAGTTTAAAGATAAATCGATTCACCTAATGTTAATTTTATATATGCTAAAACCAATTCATCTAGAAAGAAATCATATAAATTACATAATATATAATATGCTATTCGGTTAACCAACATGGTAAAAGAAATCGAAACGCAACTTACCTTATTCGGTTAACCAATCTATTTTGATTCAGGTGAGTTATTCGGTTTCGAATTTTTTCTTTATACCCTTAAGGCCCCTGTCACGTAAGTTTCTGATCTGTCACTGGCTCAAGCGGTTGACCAGATATCACTTTTGATGTTTTAATTAAAAAAATGTTGGCATATGTTCTAAAGATAGGTTGAAGAAAATCTCGATGGTTATCAATTGCCTATACCTATACCTGGGATTTATTTGGGGAATTGATGAAGTTTTTAATGAAACAAGTGTCGAAACTAGAGTGGAACTTCGTCTAGACACTAGTTGTTAATCAAGCTTGAATAAGGTAATATCTCTCAGGCTACATTTTTGGGTCTTGGAAAAAATGAAGTGCATATATGAATGTAACCTTACAGTGCAACTAGTGTCACCTTATGCTTTCCACCGTGAAGTTACTGTCATCCTATAGTAACCTTACACCAAATCTATGTAACAACCTTGCAACTCTTACCAAAGTTTTCAAATCTTCATTTTGACCACATAAGTTCTATCAGAAGTTTATTTTTCTTACTTCGGCCACTGAATTGAAGTTTAATACGATATACAATCGGTGATCTAGGGCAAGAATTATACTAATAGTCAGATGATTGAAGATAAACAATGAATTTCATGCAATTCAAGAAGCTGGAGATCTTCCAAAGGCTTTCGCAAATATTCAAACAGAGTAGAATATCGATATACCTCCCCTACAGTCTACACAGCCCCTCCTATTTATACAAAGAATAAACTATTAACTGACCTACTTTCTATACTTTCCCTACTTAAACTCATGCAGTTCCACTAATACATTCCTACACAGTTCACCCATCTTGACTTGATTGATCCACCAGTGACTACTCCCAACCCCAACCACCTATATTGACTACTACTCAGGGTATAACACTATAATTCCAAGGGTACATCTATTTGGTAATTGTGAAATATGAATTTTGAACTCAAAACTTAGGGTTTGTTTGGATCTGAATGACTCCATTCAGAGCCTGCCTCTGATTCGGTAGGAGGTAAGTATTGTTTGCTAAAAGAATTGTGACCATTGACTTGTTCCAAACCCTTACGAATCGCTCATTTTATGAGTTACGACCATACCCTTCAAAGTAGACTTATTTCCCCTGTGTTGGTTGATGTTTGTCTCCTCTATTGTGTTTCATTACTACCGCTCTTCTTTTCTGTGTGTTTCACTATTGTTGCTCGTCTCCTCCATTGTGTTCGATTTTGATTACTTGTAACAACTTGATGCACATTTGCATATCTTTTCTTATCCTCCCCTATTTACTTTGTCCATGTTAGTTTTACAATTCAACGTTGATTTTAAAATCCACTGTTTTGGTTTTTATTTGTAGCCTAAGTGTTTGGAGACATGTCAAGTAGAAACATAAGAAGGGATTTTGCATTGTAACATGATACATACTATATTACAACTAACAAATAAGAAGGGATGTTATACCTTACAATAGTGGTTTTCAAAACCTCACCATTCAAGATTATACATTTACATCTCTAGCACAACCTTGTAATGATTTCACAACCTCTATTGTGAGGTACAACATGCCTTCTTATTTGTCAGTTGTAATATAATATGTATCATGCTAAATGCATTTCACTTCTTATTTCTCCGAACACCTAGGCTATAATGAAAAGTCGAACGGTGGATTTAAAATCAATGTTGAATCTTAAAATTGACACAAGCAGCAATAAAAATTGAACCCTAGGTTCATAATAGAAACATAGTAAATAGGTGAGGATAAGAAAAGATATGCAGATGTGCACCTGGTTGTTGCGACTAACCAAAACCGAACACAGTAGAGTAGATGAGTAGCAATAGTGAAACAACAGAGATGAAGAGTAGCAGTAGAGGAACACTGTAGAGGCGACGAGCATCAGTAAAAAAGACAAGCATCAATCAACACAAGTGTAACAGAGGACATATGTCCATCGACATCCCTCATAAAATGAGCAATTCGGAAAGATTTGGAACGAATTAGAGGTCAAAATTTTTAGCAAACAATACTTACCTCTTATCAAATCAGAGGCCAACTCTGAATGACATCATTCAGATGCAAACAAACAAACCCTAAATGATACAAAGGGTTAAAATGGTAAATTTATGTCATTCAAAGTGTCCATTTAAAACACTTACCAAGCAACCATTTTACTCTGTAATAAATCATACAGAGCCTCTTAATCATTCTGATCATTTAGGGGCTGTTTGTTTGGCTCTTAATGGTGACATTAAGAGCCAACCTCTTAATCGGTAAGAGGTAAGGGCTGTTTGGCAAAAAAAATAAGCCTCTTAATGGTTACATTAACCTCTTAACCATTTTGTGCCTGGGGCTTCACTAAACCTTCTTCTTCATTAACAGGTACCTGCTACTACTGCCTTCTTTTGATCTTCATTTCTCCTCGATGGGTTACCAGATGGGTTGCCTTCTTCATTAACACGTCTCCACCAGATGGGTTTCCAGATGGGTTGCCTTCTTCTTCATTAACAGGTACCTGTTACTACTGCCTTTTTTGATCTTCATTTCTCCTCGATGGGTTACCAGATGGGTTGCCTTCTTCATTAATACGTCTCCACCAGATGGGTTGCCTTCTTCTTCACAGATTTGGGGTTCTTGATTTCTTGCAATCTTGGATTTTGCTGTAATTTTCTTGATGTTTGTTCCATTGTAGTTTGAATTTTTGAAGGATTGTTGGGTATTTTTATTATACATCTTGGTTTCGTATATTACTGGAACTAGATTGGGAAAATGGGTGTGGTTTGTGTTTTGTTGAAAGAATGTTTCATCTAATTTATTGGTTCTAGGTCTCTTTCTGGGAAAGCTTATTATGGTCAGTGAATAGAATTATGTGATTTTATTATACATCTTGGTTAGCTGAACTATTTTATTTAGATTTGGACTGAAATCTTGTTTTGAACTAATAATGTTACGTTTGTTTGGATTAATATGAAATATGTAGTTATATTTGCAAAATAATTGTTTTATTCAGATATTTGCCAAACAGCTCTATTTCATTCAGTACTAAATCATGCAGAGGGTTAAAATGGTAATTTGTTGTCATTCAGAGAACAGTTACCAAACAACATTATTTCATTCAGCACTTAACCATTMTGGYCYTCTTAACCATTCTGACCACTTAACCATTCTGCACCAAACCATTCAGCAACCGCCAAACAGCCCATTAATCATTCTGATCACTTAATCATTCAGCACCAAATCATTCAGCATCTACCAAACATTCCCTTTACTTTAGAGAGGATTCAGAGGAATAGAGCTTAATCAAATGTTTATGTTCGTAAACCTTTCAGAGATATATCACCATTAGGAACTATATGATGGTTCCAACCCGACAAATCGACCTGAAGAACAACAAGCCTTAACTAGAAAAGGTGATATTTAGAACCCTTAGAGAAGTTATTGAGAAAACTATCATTATGATGGCATAGGACGTACGGGGCGAAGTTCCAGTGAATAGTAAAGAAAAGTCGGTCCAAAAAAAAAGTTTGTTTGGGAAATATGGAGTACGTAGCATTAACTGGAACTCACAAAATACGGCCATTCTAACTCAAAGTCTCTTGTCTTCTTCCCTAGCAGCAAACTGATACCTAAAGTTGTTAAAGGCTCAAGGCGCACTTAGGCGCAAAGGGGTCCCGGGGCCTAGGCGCGAGAAGCAAGCGTGAGGCGCAGGCCTCAGGAATGCGAGGCGCATCTTATCAATATATATACACACACACACCTCGCACACACAGTTATACACAAGTCTCCAATTCAGCAAGCAACAGTACTTCGAAAAGGCAGAAGGGATAATGCGTGAGTCGTGAAGGAGAAGTTTTAAGGTTTGGATATTTATAGAGAAGGAGGCTTGAAGTTCTAAGGACTTAGAACTTAATATTAGGGTTTGACTTATGTCATCTATTTAATAACACTTTTTTAACAAATCTAGGAGATTAGAAGATGAGAAACTTATTTAATCTTAGGGTTTAACTAGGTATTTAATAACTCTTTATGAGGTGCACCTAGGCCCACAAGGCGCCTCAGCTAAGGCGCAGTGCCTTAGTCAGCCTCGTGAATACGTTGAGCCTTGACTTGGAAAAAGCCCAAGACCTTGAGCCTTATAAGCCTCAGAGCCTATGCAAGGCTCAGGTGCGCTTTCAACAACTATGCTAATACTCCGACCATTTCAGAATAATATATAAGAAAGAAAAAAGAGAGCTTTTGATATTGTCTTTAAAGGCAGATAAGACGTCATTCAACTTCATCATTGATGTGGCTTCCGATGTTCTTTGGTAAGTATGTGACCATAAAAACCATACCAATAGATTAGTATTCAAGCTTATGAACCATATGGTGACACCATGGAAACTTATTATTGAGCATCGGTCCAGAAATGAGACTACGGTGTTGAAAACTTAATTTGAACTTTTTTCAAGGATATCAGCAAATGTTATTTTCCTAACTATCTTGATTTAAACCACTTATGGAGAAATATTACAATATAAAAGGATATGTATATGGCGTTCCATTGACCTAGACAAAGCATATGATATGGGGGATTCTTCGGAAGAACTAACTCCATATGATGTACATCAATGTGAATATATATATATATGTGTGTGTGTGTGACCACATGATATCAAGCGATACGTTTCCCCATTACTATAGGACTACCTGGGGTTAACTTTGATGTCGTACCTTTCTTCGCCGATGCTATGACTTATCAAAAAGCGGTTATATGAGCACTGAGGGACAACCTTCTCACACATCCAGTGAGGAGGATGGTACTACTGGCAAAGGATATCAAGGTTCACCTGTAAAGGGACAAGCGAAAGGCTTCTTGGTATAAGAAAGTTCATTGATACCCCTAAGATAAGTTTTTAATGCAAGGTTGGAGGTTTGGAAGAACAAATCAAAATCTTAATCTCTTAGATTGAGTTAAAAAGATATAGTATATGGAGTACGTCTTAATTGGTGCCAATACAAAAGCATACGATGCAGTATGCATGGCTGGCCAATAAATAGTTAAGAAGAATCTATTTCATTGTCTGTAAATTGTGCTCAATGTTAGAGAAAGACGGGGAGAATGATGAGGATATCAACCAAAAAATGAGAGTAGGGTTGTTTCAAATGTCAACATGCTTCACAAGTATTTGCTGACAGACATGCCACCTTGAAGCTAAAAGTTAAATATTATATGACAGAAGATTGGATGGGCCGGATGACATCAGTTAAAGGAGAAGTTGAGACAACACTTTTTGATGTGGCATGCCCATCTCCAAGAAGACATTCAAGCACATGAACTAAAAGATGCGACTTACACATCAAAATGGATCATTTGGAAAGGCATACAGGTTGGCCAACATTGACATTTGGGAAGCTCACGAAAGATTTGCATGAGTAGTGTATGCCAAAGGAGCTGATCATATATAAGAGTGCATGGAAGGACATCATCCCAGAACCCTAGGATAATTCTCTTCATGTTTGTTTTTGGGTTACATCTCTTTGCACTTTCTTTTAGCTTCACTTTTCGCCTACCCTGAGTAGTTTGGGATGAAATGCATGTTGTTATTGTTGTTGAACATCAACAAAATATCACATTTCAGACCTACTAGGATTGAAGACTGGAGTTACATGCCAAAGTTTATTTCCTTTTTTCTTTTATTATTTGGAACCACTTATAACAGTTTTTATCCAACATATGAAAAGGTCAAATCTTTTCAGTTGGAAATCTTAATTTCTTATCCTAATCATTCACCAACAAATCAGATGTACTTCTGCTGTAGATTGTAAAAGCCAGTCATCCCCCAGTATTCATTTGCAAAGTTCAGATGATTTATAGCTTAAATTGATGACAACTTCCTCTGAAGAAGTTAAATCTATCTTCTAGCACTTTGTTAACAAATCATCTTCGAGTTATTTGATTCAAGACCGACAATCAAATAATCCGCATAACAGAATTACCTTTAATAACACAATCTAGCGACAATCTTAACAGACCAAGATAACAGCAAGAATACATGTCACACCTCACACAATTTAATAACCAGCTGATGTTGACAATTCCATATAGAGAATGAATTTAAATAGATGTGTAAATTAAGGAATGAATTAACACTCTTACCCGTGAGCATGATAATAGAAGATTCAGGGAAGTGAAACTTATTGATCAGAAGATATTTCATGCACTTAGCATCATTGATGCATCCTTTAAGTTCATGCCTCGAGAATTTGTACGATATGCCTACGATCACCGCCTTCTTCCTGCCATGTGCAGAAGGCGGAGGCCCCTGCGGGGCGTGGTTGTAAGGCGATGGTTGAGGAGGAACATAAGAAATTGCAGAGGGTGGAGGATGACCACCGGTATGAGGCGGCGGAGGAGGGGCTGCACGGGGGTCGGCGAGGTGGGTGATGGCTTGACAAATTGCACACCTTATCGCTTTGGCTCCCGGCGGAAGCTGCAACTGCGTGTGGCAATTCGAGCAGCTCACCAGCATCATCATCGTTGAAGAATTGGATGGTTTTAACGACGATAAATTGGGAGAAATCAGAGGGATTGATGAAAGAGAGAAGCGCAATCAAGGAGATCAAACAGGAAAGGGGAAGCGATCGAAATAACATTTTTATGAAACTACGATCGACTCCTTGTACTTATGAAATAATACATTTTCACCCCTTCTAGTTGTGACATATAATATTCTATCCCTTTGACAAGCAAAAGTGAAAAACGGATAGAACAAATAATATAGAGAATCGAGAAATTAGTTTTATTCTCATTAATTATAAACCCTTTAAATAGAGATGAGTTACAAATAGATAACCATAAGATACATAATAATAATTTAACTCTAATATGTTTATCACTATCTCTATCTCTAAGTTTTATCTTTATCTTTATCATTATCGTCATATATTTTAGACGATGACACACTTATCCTTCAACGCTCTCCCTTGTGTCAAGTCAAAGTAGTGATGGTACACTATTGTTGCCCCGTTAAAACGTTAGTGCAAAATAAAAACCCAGTGGAAAAAAAATAAAAATAGGACGAAGGAAAAAGTACAACGCACCCGTTTATAGACTATTCATTTAGTCTAGTATTCCCTCATATTGGTACATTAATCATATGAGTAAAGAAAACACGATGGTATTTAAACGGTTGTCTCACTAAAACCTTGCATCAAGAAACAAAACTCATTGAGAAAAATAAAACCTTGGGTGAAGGAAAGAGCATAACATACCAATATCATATATATAGTATCCCCCATTTCGTCTACTACTTCCCCTGATACGTACGTTAATCATGGGAATTTAGAAAACCTCTGCATTCCAATGTTTTCCACATGTTTCTCAAATGTGGCCTTAGGTAGTGATTTGGTAAATAAATCAACCACATTCTCCTCAGACCTTACTTGATTCACTTGAATCTTAAGGAGAGTCTGTTGTTGCTGATTATAGAAAAATTCGGTGAGATATGCTTTGTATTATCTCCCTTGATATACCCCACTTTCATTTGTTCAATACAAGTTGCATTATCTTCATATATGCATGTGGGATTTTGAGTGGTTGAACTTAAACCACTAGCTCCTCTTATAAGTGCAATGACAGATCTTAGCCATATACACTCTTGAACCGCCTCATGTAGAGTAATAATCTCTAAATGGTTAGAGGAGGTAGCTACAAGGGTTTGCTTGGTAGATTTCCAAGAAATCATCGTGTTCCCAATTGTAAAAAATATCATGTTTGGGAACGGCCTTTACGTGGGTCAAAGAGATACCCAGTGTTAGCAAAACCTACTAATATATCATTCAGGATTTCACTATAGGGGATAACCCTTTCTTTATTAATATATCTAACAGGTATTGTAACCCCATTTTTCTCTTTGTAGGGAGAGAATAAGCCCATGTCGATGGTTCCTTTCAGGTATCGAGATATATTATTGATACCATTCCAATGACGTTGCATTGACGTCGAGCTAAATCTAGCTAACAAGTTCACTAAGAATGCAATACCTGGTCGAGTACATTGTACTAAGTACAATAATACGCCTATTGCACTTAAATAGGGAATTTAAGCTCCCAACACCTATTTGTCATCATCCTTTGAACGAAATGGATCTTTCCTTATATCCAAGCTTCGACCGATCATGATAGTGCTAGTCGGATGCTCTTTATAAATATTAAATCGCCTGAGCATTTTCTGGATATAAGCGGACTGGAAGGATTACACAAGCTCGATGTTCTAGTTCTATACCTAGACAAAAACGAGTTTTTCCAAAATCTTTCATCTCAAATTCGGATTTTAAATGGCTTGCAGTATATCTTATTTCATCAAGAGTACCTATTATGTTCACATCATCAACAAATACAACTATGATTGAAAATACAGAACTTGTCTTCATTATAAAAATGCAAGGGCACGGTTCGTCGTTCTTATATCCATTCTCAATTAAGTATTTGTAACATCCAAGTTCCAAAATATCCAATTATTTGTTTAGAATAATTGATTATTTATTGGGTTATAGTGGGTTTATATTTTAGTGGGAGTTTGTAGATCCAAGTGGGTTCTTAGACGGGCCAAGCCGGCCCAACTTGAGTTTAGCATTATAAAATAGGAGATTTGATCCATTTTCCATATCATCTAAGTCTAGAACTCTCACCCACACTTAAGGTGCGATTTACACACATTTAAGGATAATCTTTCAAACTGTGATGATCCATGTTAGATTCTTGAAGATTAAGTGTTAATCATCAAATGTATGCTTCTAATTTCAAGTTTATTTCAAGTAGAAGTGTATAAATTAGAGGTTAGATTCTGTTTTTTTGAAAGATTATAAAGGATAATGTCGATTATTATGTGAATCGGAAGCTATTTTGGGTAAGTAAGTAACATGCAGTGAGTTTTATGGCAAAATCTGGGTTTAAATATGGTAAAAACAGGGGTTTAACAGAGGATTTTTCAAGAAGTATAAATAGGATAATCAATATCTAAAGTGTATAAATTAAGGTTGAGATATGGTTGGTTTTGATTCTGAAATGTTTACTCCAGGGGCTGTTTTTTTTAAGGTTATTTACAACTTCTGAAGGTTTATCCCTATTGTTGGTTGGATTGGAGGTTACCGCGTTTGGTCGTTTATAAGAAAACACTGTGAGTTTATATCAAACTTATACTTATGTATAGTATAAATATATGAACTTTTGTTGAAAAGTTGCTGAATTTCTTGCATGTGTTATTTTGTAAGATAAATTTCTTCCAAACTGTGTTTTGGTACCGCTTAATCCTGTTAAATTTATGTTTAAGTCCCGGATCCGAGACTGTTTCATTGGTTTTTAGTTGCACCATGATCTATGGGTATTACTTTGTGTGATGCGYCGTAGCATGGTGTATGTCCACGTATCCYARGGAGAAGGAGGTTGGGTGTGGCATACTGGTTGTATTCACGTATCCCGAATGATAAGGAGCCGGGTGTGAATACTTGCACGGGCCCTGTAGATGAAGGGGGTATGGTGCACATAAAAATTCTATTTTGAAAATGGTACCTTTGGTGTTGAACACCCTTTTGAGCTGAAATTGATCTTATTTATCTTAAAAAGTCTTTATAAGCGATGTATGTTAAAGATTGGAAATTCAAAGTTTTTATGCTGTGATTAAATGGCCAAGTTTGGAATTTTGGGTCCTTTGAGACCATCGGCCCTCTGGTTGTATTGTACTTTNATCATGTGTATGTTGTGTTTTCAAGTCATTGCTCATAAATTTTATAAATAAGATTTGTTGCATTTAAAATCGTTTTATGCATATAAAACCTGTGAACTCACCAACTCTTGTAGTTGACACTTGTTTGACATGCTTTTTCAGGGTAAGAAAGATTTTCGGTGATACATGTTTGAAGACATGTTGTATTTAGAAATTTCAATCCTATTTTATGTTTAGTGTTGCAAACTTGTATTTGGGATTGTAAACTTTATTTATTTTTGTATTATGCTTTGAATTGTATGATTGTGTTGTTTATACACTATTGCTATGAAACTCTACCTGCCATATCCCGTGTTTCCGCTTTAGCGGGGTGTGACAAAACATCATCACGGGTCAAATTGGACGTGGGAACGCAAGGATGAGATGAAGGCGAAATACCCTTCATTATTTTCACAACAGTGATTTCGAGGACGAAATCCTCAAAAGGAGGAGGTATTTGTAACATCCAAGTTCCAAAATATCCAATTATTTGTTTAGAATAATTGATTATTTATTGGGTTATAGTGGGTTTATATTTTAGTGGGAGTTTGTAGATCCAAGTGGGTTCTTAGACGGGCCAAGCCGGCCCAACTTGAGTTTAGCATTATAAAATAGGAGATTTGATCCATTTTCCATATCATCTAAGTCTAGAACTCTCACCCACACTTAAGGTGCGATTTACACACATTTAAGGATAATCCTTCAAACCGTGATGATCCATGTTAGATTCTTGAAGATTAAGTGTTATGCTTCTAATTTCAAGTTTATTTCAAGTAGAAGTGTATAAATTAGAGGTTAGATTCTGTTTTTTTGAAAGATTATAAAGGATAATGTCGATTATTGTATGAATCGGAAGCTATTTTGGGTAGGTAAGTAACATGCAGTGAGTTTTATGGCAAAATCTGGGTTTAAGTATGGTAAAAACAGGGGTTTAACAGAGGATTTTTCAATAAGTACAAATAGGATAATCAATATCTAAAGTGTATAAATTAAGGTTGAGATATGGTTGGTTTTGATTCTGAAATGTTTACTCCAGGGGCTGTTTTTTTTAAGGTTATTTACAACTTCTGAAGGTTTATCCCTATTGTTGGTTGGATTGGAGGTTACCGCGTTTGGTCGTTTATAAGAAARCACTGTGAGTTTATATCAAACTTATACTTATGTATAGTATAAATATATGAACTTTTGTTGAAAAGTTGCTGAATTTCTTGCATGTGTTATTTTGTAAGATAAATTTYTYCCAAACYGTGTTTTGGTACCGCTTAATCCTGTTAAATTTATGTTTAAGTCCCGGATCCGAGACTGTTTCATTGGTTTTTAGTTGCACCATGATCTATGGGTATTACTTTGTGTGATACGCCGTAGCATGGTGTATGTCCACGTATCCCAGGGAGAAGGAGGTTGGGTGTGGCATACTGGTTGTATTCACGTATCCCGAATGATAAGGAGCCGGGTGTGAATACTTGCACGGGCCCTGTAGATGAAGGGGGTATGGTGCACATAAAAACTCTATTTTGAAAATGGTACCTTTGGTGTTGAACACCCTTTTGGGCTGAAATTGATCTTATTTATCTTAAAAAGTCTTTATAAGCACTGTATGTTAAAGATTGGAAATTCAAAGTTTTTATGCTGTGATTAAATGGCCAAGTTTAGAATTTTGGGTCCTTTGAGACTATCGGCCCTCTGGTTGTATTGTACTTTGAGTCCTTTGAGACCATCGGCCCTCTGGTTGTATTGTACTTTGAATCCTTTGAGACCATCGACCCTCTGGTTGTATTGAGACCATTGACCCTCTGGTTGTATTGAT